GTGTCCGAGGGCTCTTTTCTCGAACAGTAGGTGCGATACCTGTTCTTTTCTTTCTTTCGATCATTTTGTTTTCTTTTTCCGAGTGGTTTGTATCCTATTTTTGTTTTTTGTTTTCTCGCGGCGTCGTATGTGCCGGGTTTTGAGACCACGGGCTCCCTATTTTTTGTGGACTATAGAGCTAATGTGAGAAACAACAGGAGGAAGGGAACCCACAGGGATTGTCCGTTTCGTTTGTTTTTTTTGCTCAACTGCTGCTGTTCCCCATGTGCAGTGGTTGCCTTCATTATTAAAATAGGGGCGTTCTGCCGTCCACCTTCTCCTGTTGTCAGCGGGAATCGCTTTGACTGCAAGGAGTGCGGGTAAGTCCGTCCAGTTCATTCCCGAGAGAGATTGCAACCCACACCCCCGCTGCTTTAATTTTTGACAGACCAGTAGGGTTTGCGGGGTTACCCACTACTGCTTCCGTAAACACCACACGACGGTTTCACATTATTTGATCTTCACTGTTAGTCGTTCAGTGGGATCGTAGCTACTCTATCCAGCGGAGATATGCTTAGTATACTAGTAGGCACAACTGGTGGCTACATAATAATTAATCGCGGTAGATTTTACGCTACAGTCGACCCCGCTTTAAGGACGCTCGCGTTAAGGAAACTCCCCGATTTAAGGAAACTTGTTTTGCTCACAGAACCAGGTGGCCCGGCCGAACATGCGATAATGGGGTACCCCCATTTTTCTACCGCCTACCCCCCTTTGTTGCGTCCTGCGGGCCTGCGGGCCGCTCTTTGCACGAACCACGCACCACAGTGAGTGCAGAAGTAGCGACGCACAGACAGTAGAAGTAGCGAGCGGTCTGCTGCTGCAGCTGCAACAGGGTGTTGGTATGGATAGATTCCTCCCATCTACCGGCGGTCCATCTAATGCCGCCAAAAAAAGAGTCGTGCATAACCTCGTCCCTCACCGAGGGCGAGGTTATCTCTCGCTTGGAGGACGTTCGATCCGAGAGATAGCGCCCCCAGTTAAGAAACGTCAAAATCGGATCGAGCCTCAATCCCTTCTTTTGGGTCGAAGTACCGGCCCAAGTCGTCCATTTTCGTAAATGGCATTTCTCCTTTTGGACTGTCGCATCCTCCCGATTCTCTTATTCCTTAGACTAGACTACAACAAGTACTTCGTATTTTCTTTTTTCTGTTTTGTGATCTCTGAGGACAATCCACATCATGAAGCCCTCAAGAGAGCTGGTGGAGAGTANTTGGGTCGAAGTACCGGCCCAAGTCGTCCATTTTCGTAAATGGCATTTCTCCTTTTGGACTGTCGCATCCTCCCGATTCTCTTATTCCTTAGACTAGACTACAACAAGTACTTCGTATTTTCTTTTTTCTGTTTTGTGATCTCTGAGGACAATCCACATCATGAAGCCCTCAAGAGAGCTGGTGGAGAGTACCATCAAACCCGTACAACAGCGGAGAGCATATGGTTGTCCGCGATGTGTGGCAGTACTATTATTATACAGTACAGCACTCACTGTGAACAGCAGGGGCGCGGGGGGGGCGGGGGGGACTCTGTCCCTTGCAAAAAAATATGCACCTCTGTTCAGCTTCGGAGGGGGGTGGGAGCACCGCAGATTTCTGATGTCATGGGGGTATCGCACCATCATGTTTCTTGTTGGGGCGTTTCTTACGTTGTGGCCGAGATTGAGCAATGGTTCTCAGCCTATTTTTCTTATTTTTCGTACAAACTTGAGCCTTTTTTCGTAACAGAATTTTTCTCAACTGCGGGCGCTATCTGTATTTGTACGCGAAGGGAAGGGGTGGCGATTACCGTGATACGCAGTACCTTCTTTCGAAGACCGTTCATTCGTTTACCCATGAAACTCAACAGAGCCGTAGAGCCAAGCCGCTGGGAGAGGTTCAGGGAACTCTTCGCGATATATATGCGGAAGGACAAGCCATCCAGGTAGCTTTTGGTCTCCGCCGGGACAGTGATACGTACTGGTGTTCCTCGATCCGACGCTGAAATACGCTCGTTTTTCTTTTGTTTCACAAGAATGATATGCATATAAATAGATGTCTTCTTGGTCTTTCCTCCTTCTTCCGCTGCCAGCTATGTACTTGGCCAAGTACAAGCTGGTGTGCTGTTGTAGTGTTTTCAACACGTCCCCGATTGCTGTAAATCTCATTTCAAGTATTGTTAATATGTTCGACGTCAACAAACGGTTGCCAATCGTCTCCGCGATGCTGACGTTTCGTACCACCCCCTTCCTTATCAAAAGATGCATAGTTTGAGGTATAGCATGCCTCCGTTGGCCCCGGGGAAGGTGAGCTATCGTCCCCTGAATTTTAAGGACGCAACCCCGCTTTAAGGACGCTTTTTTTTCGGGCAAAACCATGCGCGTCTTTAAAGCGGGGTCGACCATACCAGCAGTCAAATTAAACGGCAAAACCTAGTGGGAGCGTGTTTCTGGCGGAAGGTGGAAGACACCATTTCGATTATCGCGTGGTTGCATGCATTCGCCCACTGGTCGTCGAGGATTAACCTCGGATATTTACTGCTGTGCAGGGTGTGTTTCAGTCTTGGAACTTCATGCAAGAGGGAACAAATATAAAAGGTAGAACGGTTACCAACCCATGGTCCTTCATAGGCAGCAGTTCCATCATCCCTCTCGCCCGGTTTTGGAAGACATCACGCGCGCTCTGCCCTACCGGACGATTTCAGCGCATCGGGTGTATTTGCCGCCGTGCAGCTAACTCTGTGTAATGAGAGTTTTTTTTTCTTGATACTCTTACATTACACAACGAATCCATCTCAATCTACAAGTAAGACAGGAGTTCCAGACAGAAAACGTCCCTGATGCCAGGTTGATGCTGCTCGGTTGTGTTGGGAATGCTCGTACCTCTCTCGGAACTCACCCGTGTTCAAACTTGTCGAGATCGGCCCACGCTGAAGCTCGGGCAGCATCACCACCGGTGGCTCCCTCTTCCTTCAGCGCGCCAGCCTCCTCCTCCCTTGCGAGGTAGCCCTCTGTCCTGCTGTGCTGCCGCGCCTCCATCGTCCCTCTTGCTCCAGCAGAAATCGATGCCGCAGCAGGAAAACCGGCCGGCCTTCCAAGCGGAGCTCCTGCCGCCGCCGCCAGCGCGGCAGTAGCAGTGCTGCGGCACAGGCAAAGGGCGTGGACGACAGCGGCGGCACAGACGGCTGCCGCGAGGCTGTGGAGCCTGCGGCAGCTGGTCCCATGTCGGCGGCGCCTCGTTGTCGTTGGTGGTCTGCTTGTCGTGCAACCTCGGCCCCACGGCAAGTACCGCCTCCTGCTGCTGCCGCTGCGGCTGCTGGTGCTGGTGCTGGTGCTGCTGGTGCTGCTGGTGCTGGTGCTGCTGGGAGCCATGATCGTCGGCGTCTTCTCCTCACGGCCTAGCGACAGCCGAGCAGAGCCACCAACAGCCTCGCACGCAACACAGTGCCAGGTGCTCTGCAGCACCAAAGACACCGGCGTGTCGGTCGAGTTCCTCCTTCCTGGAGGGAGGGCTTGTCAACGCGTGGAACACGAAACGAAGATGGGGGGAAAAGAAATGAAAAAAGAGACGAGAGGCCCGTTTATCTATCCTCGTTGTTTGTGCTACAGGCTAGGAAGCACGGGTGGCGACAGTCGACCCAACAACACCTCGCATATCGGCGGAGTCGGTGGCAACAGATCGGGCCCCCATCCAGACCCTTACCGTGGTTGTGGGTGTAGGCAGGTGCTACATATGGAGAGACACACAACAATTTCATGGAATTGTTCTGGGGGGGCTCCGTCAACGCGAAATGAACCCACGTGCGTCTCCCGCACTGCATTTCAGAATCTATCTGCCCAGCTGCTTTGTCTGCCTGACTACTAGCGTTGTTTTTCTTGCATATACTCCGGAAGGCTACCCCCCAGGCTGGTGGTGCGCACGTTCCACTATTTATGTATTTATTTGTTTCTGATTCTTTTGTTTTCTTGTATTTTATCGCTCTGCTAACCCTTGGGGTCCATTTTATTTTGGTATACTTTAGTACGGAGAGATTGAGACAGAAGGAGGTACTGGATAGAGAGACCGGGATGGTTTTTAATGTGAAGACAACAACAACAACTCCTATATTCTCTACCCCCCATCTCTGCTATGCATCTTCAAATTGTAAGGGGTCTACCACTCACGGCGGCAGCAGTGAGGAGCAAACCTCGGCGCCGTTGCTTTCTCAAACTGAAATTTATCGCTTCGTCTCCAGTGGTGTGCACCCTCCCCCATCTGGGTGGCGTCATTGTCGTGATCAGCCCTCCCTGCTGTCCCGCTAGACGCTCGCTCACATCCCTCCCTGGTTCCATATGCGGGCAAATTTATCATTTTTAAACAATTTGGAAAAGATGGTGGACGTAGTAATCTGATGCATCATTGGTTCAGTGGTAGAATGCGTGATTGCCATTCACGCGACCCGTGTTCGATTCACGGATGATGCATACCTTTTTTTTCCTCTGTGATCATTTTAGTGGAACGCATGTGGTTGTACTTTAAGGAGGGAGTTGGGTCAACGAAGGTCGATGGACCCCTAATAATTATGCTTCGCTGAACTCCTTTTTCGTCATTTATTTTCGAACCAACCGCCTTGCCCGTTTGTTGGTCCTTTCTTCCGTCGTAGGGTTATTTCTTGGGCAACTCCATTTTAGCGCATAGAGGGACCCAATCACGGTGGGTCTGTTGCAACTGATTACTTACTTCGAGGCTTATTATCATCCCGTCCGTATGTCCCCCCCCCTATCCTAGACTTGAGTGGGTTGGCGCTGTTGTTGGCAAAGCGCTGCAAAACAAGCCACCCCAAATATAGCCCCCATAGTATGCGCTACCAAAGACGCGTGACGCATGGATGCTTGGAGTGAGGATAGCTGTTTACGCAAACCTCACAGACAGGTTGAGTAATTTATGAGACTGTCGGACACATACATACATACATAGACGTGTTGAGTGATTATAATAATAGCTGTCAAAGTATGCTGTATTACATAGCATAGTCAGTTGTGTAGATTTGCAGTTCGTTGTACACGTATTGAATATTTTCAGCTAGCGGCAGCTAAGTTGATGAGAGATATGTTAACACACCATTACAAGGCGAATCTTTTAGGCACTAAACTACAAAATTTTCGTCAGGTCTTCTTTAGGAAATCACGCATACATGTTAGGGATTCTTGGCGTGCAGAAGCCAGAATGCAATTTCGGTATCAAGTAGAACGTAAGATTTGGTATCTTGTTTACCATGGGGAGGATTCATGACTTTTATTTTCTTGACTTGTGGGGGCAAGGGTAGATTAAGAGCAAAATGACAGGATGTATATTGTCAAAGGAAGTACAGATAACCAACGATGCTGGTATCAACGCAGGTAGCCACTGTGGTATAATCATTTAAGACGTGATGATTGATTTGAATGTGCTACTTGAAGACATGAGGATGGTTGAATGGAGCTCACGGGTTNCGATTTATGACTTTTATTTTCTTGACTTGTGGGGGCAAGGGTAGATTAAGAGCAAAATGACAGGATGTATATTGTCAAAGGAAGTACAGATAACCAACGATGCTGGTATCAACGCAGGTAGCCACTGTGGTATAATCATTTAAGACGTGATGATTGATTTGAATGTGCTACTTGAAGACATGAGGATGGTTGAATGGAGCTCACGGGTTTTTTGGGTACTCCTTGCAAGAAAGGACATGCATGCAGTGTGGATGAGTTCTTACAGGAAATCCCGAGAAAATAAAACTTGAAATATCAAAACTAGGCGGACACTTAACAGTAGAGTAATGGATGATGGATAAGAACGGCAACGAGTTGCCTAATTATCCATTAGCAAGGGGGAACACAGTGACCCGTGTCCCTTGCAAAATATCATTGCTGCATTGCTGCATGCAACCGAATTCTTCTAATCTCGGACCACAAATGACGTCACACGACCAAGTGAAATTTCTTGTAAAAAAACGTAGACCAAATGACGTCACATGACCAGGTGAAAATACAACACCTCGATGGCCTCCAAATCTATCTGCAGTTGAGCCCATGGTCGGGAAGCCCCTTTCGCACATTCCCAGTTTGATCCCTACCGCAAGCCTCCCATTGTGTTCGGAGCAGCCGGCATTCATTCGGATCCCTGCCGTCGTACCACATAAAACAACATATTCGCCTGATTGAGAGCGTAGCATCTGATTGAGAGCGAGATTGCGCGATACGCTGTAGCCGGACTACCACTGAGAGGTGGAGCTTCCTGTGTAGCTTGAATTGAAGGGCTAGCCCGTAGCTTCAAGCCGCTACCCTGGTCATCCTGTGGGAGTCTCTCGTTGTGGAGCTACAGCGGGGAGCAGAAGCTACAGCAGAGCCCACCGCCCGACGCGATACCGCCCTGAAACAGTTTGAGCAGAAATAGCCAATCTGGGCAAATCTAGCAACTTGTCTAGCTCCTCGCTGCAGCATCCGATGACGATGACACGCATATGCTCGCGAAGCTGCTGATGAGACCTTCAATTTGCACCGCTTCTTGGAATAGCCCGTCCCCTACTTGCCAAGAAATGGCAAGAGGCGTCTGGACCCGAAATTTCAATTTTTTTGGCTCTCGCTCTCAATCAGATACTTCGCTCTCAATCAGGCGAATATGTTGTTATAATAAATACCCCCTCCGATAGGACTTGAGGCAAGGCGGGAAGGCTGTATCGGGGTTCGTGCAAAGGTGCTCTCCCATATTGACCTCGCGGCTGACACACATCGTCTTCTCTGCTGATCGCTGTGTATCCAGGTGGGTAATTTTACGTGTTGTATCCTTCGCCGTACTCCGTAACATGTCCACACCACTGCTCCACACGGAGAGACCAACTGCCACTCGCTACTACTGCTGACCTTCATGACGGATGCTCTTCAACGGGATTACGACATGGTTGCGACAAGATGTCTCGGCAAACCGCTCTGTCTGAGGAACACCAGGGAAGTTGACAACAACAATCGCCACACACATTGTTTGGATGTATAATATCATTTGAACACTTTCCGTGCTCTACTGATTGATGCTGATTACCAACACCAAACATACCAGGAAACCAGCTAACACGATACAAACTGAACGCTATGCCCTACCTACCATGCACCAGGTGTATTATTCTCTTCTTCTACTGTAAGCATCACTGATACGCTACCCCAAAGGGTCAAATAAGTTTTTTTTTTTTGTAGATTCAACAAACGGCGGGAAACACCTGCTGCTGCCCGTGAAAAAATTCAAAAATCTATAGGTTTGAAAAACGAGTGATGTACTACTGCTGTAGCCTTCTTTCCATCCTCCATGATTTTTACTTCAATATTATTATTTATTATTTCTCCTTAAATTCCTAAAACCAGCAAACTGTCAATAGACACTGCGCCGTGTCCCCTGTGAAGGTTACATCTTACTACAGTGCACGACACTACGTACGGAGGGATTATCCCCGATATTTTGTCGTTGACCCAGTAGAGAACAGGATGTAAAATGTAGATTTACCTATACAGATGTTTTTGTACTTAGCACCACCAGCTGGCATCACTGATAAATCATCAGTGTATAGACTTATAAAGACTCGAAATAAGTCCAGTACCCAGCCGGTTTTCCTCCACTACTTACTGAAAAGACTCCATCCACCACATCCCCTTCGACTGTGGGTATATCTCGAATGGGTAGTCTTTCTGTGCGTGCATTTATTTCTCCTTAATAATAGCTGTATACTGAAACCTCAAGGAAGGGTTGAGTGAGGATTGAGATTGCCAGACACATACATGGACGGGTTGAGTGGGGATAGCTGCATACTGAAACCCCACACGGGTTGAGTGATGTTGGAGTGCCGGACAAATAGACGCGTTGAATGACTATAGACACATTACATACTAAACCTCACATACATGTGATTTGTGATTATGGAGATTGCCGGACACATAGACATGTTAAGTGAGGATAGCTGCATACTGAAACCTCACAGGTGCATTGGTTTTGAGTTTGCCAGACACATATGCATAGACGCGTTGAGTGGGGATAGCTACATACTGAAACCACACGAGTTGAGTGATGTTGGATAGTGCCGGACACATAGATAGACGCTTTGAGTGAGGAAAGACACATACTGAAACCTCACAGGTGATTTGCATTGGAGATTGCCGGACACATAGACGTGTTGAGTGAAATAGCTACATACTGAAACCTCAGGATTGGTTTTGAGTTTGCCAGACACATAGACGCGCTGCGTGGGGATAGCTACATACTGAAACCCCACGAGTTGAGTGATGTTGGATAGTGCCAAACACATAGATA